TGAAGCTGGGGCTCTTTGAAAGATCTAGAGACACGGACAGTGTTTCCTTTGTGTCTCGGATTTCCTCTTATTTGAATGTCGTTGAAACCATCTTTCCTTTGTATAATGGGTTCTGAGGGTATTATTTTATCACCTGGACTTGTATCCAGATAATTATTTATTTATTTATTTATTGTGAATACAGTGTTCTGTCTACATTTTGCCTGCATACAAGAAGAAGGCATGGATCTTATCATAGATGACTGTGAGCCATCATGTGGCTGCATGAATTGAATTTAGGACCTCTGGAAGAGCAGTCAATGCTTTTCACCTCTGAGCCATCTCTCCAGCCCAAGATAATCTAATATTTATTTATTTAAACTCTTTAGAACATTTCAGGCCTCACTTATCCAAAGGTGGACCTTAGACTTTCTGTGCAGCCATTGATAGCTTTGTCTGTTTGATCATCTTGCCTCAACCTCCAACTTTCTGGGATTACTTATGTAATCCCATCACCACAGCCGATTTATATATCACTAGTGATTAAATCCAGGGTTTCTTACAAGCTAGGCAAGAACAATACCAACTAAACTACATTCCCATCTCAAATGTTATTTTGAAACATGGTCTCATATAGCCCATTTTCATTTTACCTTGTAGATAGAGCTGGTAAAAATGTTTGATAACTTTTCTCAGAATATTTTCTGAGAAATACAGAGCTAGCTTTCTTTTCTGTCTTTAGGTATATTTACTTTTTTTTCTCCAAATCCTTGAAGGAGAGAGTTAGGATTTGGTAGGTATATAGGGTAGGCATGAGAAGGCCTGAGACTGGAATTGGAGGAATAAGGTTGTTGGGACACAGGTACATCATAATCATGTATTAGGATAACAATAGGCCCTCACCTTCAGTGCCGGAGTTGGATCTCTGTCTCCTCCTGTGACTGTCCCTGCTCCTTCCTACCTCTCTCCAGGATCAGAAATCTCTATTGCCTGTTGGCTGTGTTTTTCAGAGCCTGTCTTGATTTCATTCAATGGGGCACAGAATTGGCCATCTTTCTAGCTAACTGTAAGAAGTAAAGTGAAACTTCACATTCTGAAACCATGGCACAAAGATGGTTATGAATCTTAAAATGGGCCAGTTACTTCCTGCTCTCTTTATTTGACTAGTGACAGAGCATCTTGTCTGGTGTGTGACTTTGACACGTGCATGCAGTTTTCCAAGTGTGATGTTATTGTAGTGAAATGTTTTCCTCACGATCAGAAATGTCCGGGTAGTTGATCTCTATCAGCAAGTTCATTCTACCTTAAGTGCAGATGTCACTGTGACATCTCAAAGACATTCAACAATCAGGTCATTTTAAGCTCCACCTCAAATATTTCACATTCTTAGACTCTCTCAGGAAGGGCTGTGCTCATGTATGTGTGTGGAGACCAGAGTTTATATCAAGTGTTTCCTTATTTCTTAAAAGTTTTCATAACTCTGCTTCCACCTCTTCACCATAGCCTGAGGGTGTGCGCACACCACATGGCTTCACTTATTTTTTGAGAAAGGATCCCACTAAACTTGGAGATCACCCTTTCAACAGACTATTTGGTCAGTGAGCTCCTGAGATCTACCCGTTTCTTCTGCCCCACAGTGTTGGTACTACAGATGCCACAATCCAGTTTTCTTCACTGGAGATGTGATTGTAGACTTTATGCATGCAGAGAAGTACTTTACTGACTCAATCATTTCCCCCTCTTGTTTACTGTTCTTGAGAATGGAGCTTGGAGAATGGAGTAAAAAAATGAGGCAGACTGAAGTCTCACACAATGGCCAACTTTATTCAGAGCATCAGACATTTTATACTGAGGGTTGAGCCACCTGAGTGAAGTGTACAATCACAAGGACAAGCTGGATGCATCAAAACTGTTTTCCATGGAAGCAGATGAATAGCAACAGCTGAAGTAAGCTCAGTCCTATCTGATACTCCTGGGAAAAGCACAAAAACACATTCCAAGAACAAATCTGTGTTTTGGAGACACTGCGGTCACAAGACTCTTGGTGTTGCTTTCTTGGAGTTTTCTCACAAACAGCCAGGACTCCCCTCACGTGACTCCATTCATGGAACATGTTGTGACACTGTAATTGTTTTAGTAGTAATACATGTTTGACATTTCTATTGGTACCAGTGGAAGATAAACTTTATTTTTTTCATAAATTCAAGTGTACATATTAAACTTCTGCTGAAAAGTTTAACTAGACACATTTTCTTTTATAGCATTGCAACCTATTAACTCTCCACCAGTCAGTGGGCCTGTGACGGTATTCTGCATTGCTTGGGATCTAGCAAAGGACAGACGGTAACAGGGGTATACAGAGTGAGAGAAATTAGATAAGAGACAGTGAAGGGGCTGCACAATGCTGCAGATGTGGCTGCAGATGTTAGGAGAACGCTATCCGAGCATGCTGGAGCCCTGCCTTTGATCCCTGCTTTTGATCCCTAGCACCACAGAAAGACCATGGGTGTGGTCATGATGTTAGCACTTGGGAGGCAAAGGCAAGACAATCAGGAGCTCAGAATTCTCCTCAGGTTCATAGTGCCTTTGAGGCCAGCCTGGGCTAGAGATGCTCTTGTCTCGAAAGGATGAGTGAATACATTAACAAATAATTGCTTGCTGTGATGAAAGAGGAGAACTGGCTCTCTGGAAGTCGTCCTCGGACTACATGGCCATTGTGGTACCCCACCCCTTGTACTACCACCACACATTCTCTCTCTCTCTCTCTCTCTCTCTCTCTCTCTCTCTCTCTCTCTCTCTCTCTCTCTCTCTCTCTCTCAAAGAAATTTAGCAATGTATAGCCTTGGGTCAAAAAGAACTTTTGGAAAAATGTTTCTGGGAATGGTAGCCTGGGGCCCATCTCCCATGTAAACAAGCAAAGGCCCTAAATTTCGGTTTCTCTGACTCTTAAAGATGATCTTAAGAAAAAGGAAGAAAGTTGTTAATATTTCACTGCTTATCTTCGCGGATCTAGGTGACCCGGTTTTTATGTGTGTTATGAGACTCTCAGAAACCCCGTGGTTAAATTGTTTGCACAGTGGCTGTATGAAATGTTCTTGTCTGAGGTTGCACTGTTCTCTGAAGTTACCCAGACGTGACCACCTGAAGGTGATTGGGATGAACTTTCACGGCACCGTCTTCATTCTCTCCTCTTGATTTTTTTTTATTTTAAATATTGTTTACAGGAAATATTGAAAAGCCAGAAAACTCCTATATGATGTAACTATTTCCAGGTTCTGCTACTTTCCTGTTCTCGCCCAGCATCCCTGTATCTTTGCATAGATAATCCACAAGCTGATCATTTCTGTGAAGTGTGTATGTTGCCAGGACCTCAGATGTAGATGGCTGAGTTATTCCCATTTCTTACATTGCAGCAAATTATGAACGGTTAGAGACAGGCTCCTTCATACTTATTGATTGATTAATTGATTGATGTCCGGTTGCTCCTCTGCCTTTTCTATCTCTGTGCCACATCATCTTAATGTATTCAGAGTTTTTTTTATGTGCTCTTAAAAAATGTGTGTGGCTGTTTTAGATGGGCATGAATGATACTATCTATCTATCTATCTATCTATCTATCTATCTATCTATCTATCTATCCCATTTTATCGCTCTTGAACCTATGGCCATGTACCTCTGGTTCGTTATTTTTAATTACTACCTTGGAATCCCAGAGCACTGCCACGTTTTACTTACCTTCTAGCTCTCCCCCTTCCCCGCCTCAGAGGACACAGTGATGAATATCCTACCCAGGCCATTGTGGGTATATATAAAGTGCTTCCCTCCTGGGAGCCCCTATGCATCTGTGAGCTAAATTGCAATTTAGATGCACAACCTGTAGGTGCTAGGAGCTGCAATGATTGAATCAGCTTACGTTTCTGGCAACAGTTCATTTTTCTTTGAGACCTTCTGATCTCAGAGTATCTGTCCAGCTCCTTTGACGTGTCAGGTGTGTGTAAAGTGATATCTAGTATTCATGTGCACTTTTTTTTTCTGCCCAGATAAAACTTGAAGTATCTCTTCTTGGTTAATTCTATTTTACATTCTCTTGTTATGCTGATTTTTTTCCACCTGTTGGAATATGACTCCATGGTTTTTGACATATAGATTAATATATTACAGTGTATTTAACTATAACAATTAAGTTGGATCATATGTGACTATGTTGTTTTAGATCATTTTGATCTATAATAACCGAAAGATTATCTGTGAAGGTGTCTTAGTTGTTAGTGTGCCTGCCTAGTATGCAGAAAGCCCTGGTTTGCTCCTCAGCATTGCCTGACCCGAGTGTGGTGGTACACACCTGTGTGAGGGAAATGGAGGCAGGAAGATCAGGAGTTCAGACTCATCCTTGGCTACATAGAGAGTTCAGTTTTAGCCTACAATACTTGACAACCAGTCTCAAAGTAATAAAACAAACCAAACTTGAAAGCATAACAAAATCTCTAGTCCACCCTAATCTCTTCTTAGAATTATGGATCTTTTCACTTTTTTAAAATGTAAATATTTTAAGCAATGTGTGTTTGCTATCTTTTATTTTAGTTTGTGTTCATAATTTATAAAAGAAAGATAACTAAATCAGAGAGTGATCATCTTACAGCTATTGCTACACAAAGCAAACCATTTTCTAAAAGGCTAAAGTCATTTGCATTACTTACCATGTATGTGTTTATATAATGATTATTCTGCTTTAGCTGCATCCTCATTGTCATTAAGTAGTCCAATTTAAACTCATATTTTAATAACTGAAACCTTACTATGTTTTTGCTTGTATTATTTGATTATGATGAGCATTAATCATGTATTCTGTGATCACAGATGCCCTGTGCTTTATGAGTGTGGTCCATTTCTGCCCATAGCCTATTTTCCTTCTGGTATCATTTTATATCAATTTGATAGTAGATTTTCATATAATGTAGATGTAGTCTGTCTTCAATTCCTGAAAATGAAATTATTCACCAGCATATGATTTAATTCTTCAGATGACAGTCAAAGCAAAACTCATGATAAAAAAGAGAAGAAGATGGTGGTACAGAAGCCACACGGCACCATGGAATACACTGTAAGTGTGATGGGTAGCTGGGATGGCTGTTATCCCTGTGTTGGGCAAGCGTACTGTTTCTCCTTGACTCACCTTGCTCCTTATGTATATTCTGATTGTATAACCATCAAACAGAGTGCTTCCTTAAGACCCATTTGAAGTCATTTCTTTTTCCTCCATGTTTCTCCCTGGCTACAATGCCTGTCATTCCATTGTTATGAGACTTGCTTAGGATCATCTGGAAGATAAGGGATCCACTTTTCTCACCACTCATTGTTCACCCTCCTAGAACCTGGTTTAATGAGATGACCTTTTTAAACAGAGAAGCAATATTTTCAGTTAAGGATGCCCTAGTAGTTTTGTTGCTCCAAACAAACAAATGGGTTGTCTCCGGTCTCTATCCCAGATATCTTTTAGATACAAAAACATCAGTCTATAGCTGCTTATCATATCCTTTTAGATCTCTGTGTTTGTTCCTTCTCCAGGAAGCAATAGCTCTGAGATCAAGTATTTATACAAACCAGGTGCACACTGTTAGATTTACTTTCCTTGTTCTCCATGTCCGTGTCCTCTTCTCACCATCCAGAAATTCTAGAGCAGGTTTCATTCTCTCATTTACCAATAAATCATTTTAACATTGCTCACTGATATGATGTTTTGAATGTCTACCTCGTGCTTTAATTCTTTGATTCATGAGGAGATACTAGACGCCTTTTATGTTGTATTCTTGGCACATGACAGAACATATGCTTCCATATACTTGGAATCTATAGATGAACAATGTTTCCAAGTGTCAATTGCTGTGACTTCGCTGTGTGCACCATGTACTTACCTCCCTCATTGCACTCTGAGCTCTTGGAACCCAGAAGCTTTGCTCTGTTTATCAATAGACTTCATACTATGTGAGCACAAAGTTGTAGTTCTATTTAATTTCACTGTAAAATAGCACTGCTGAGACGCTTTGGTTTCTTAGAAGAAATTAAATATTGTTGCCCTCGCCTGACTGTTTTTTCTGGTAAATTCTTATTTTAGATTCGCTGTGTAAAGCCATAGAGCCAGTGAAAAGCAGTCCTGGAACTCAAAGCCAATATTTTGGTCCTGGGGTCTGAATTCTCATTATATGTCTTTTGTTAACCCCCAAATCCTGAAGGTCTCTGGGTTGGATGTGTTTTATAATAGCAAAATAGTACACCTAAGTTTTGCCAAAGGGAAGTTAGAACTCTATTAGTGTAGAGTAAAAGTTGAAGATGAGGGAGTCCAGAAATGAACTGAAGTTAAGATTCTTTGTGTACAGGTTCATTGAGTTTTGCACATGAGACAGACATGGGGGTCACATCTAAAATCTCAGCACTTGGGAGGGTGGTTGCATGTTTGAGGCAAACTTGGGCTACCAAGTGGTCTTCAGGCTGGAGTGCAACTTTGTCTCAGCACAAAACCAAAAACACAACAGCAACACAAAATGACTGAACCTCAACAAAGGACAAAGAATCACCCCTCTTCCTCATGGTCCATCTGGATGAAGCTATTACTTTTTCATTCACTGTCCACTGCTATCATGAATAAATTGGTGCTCTTTACTGAAAGTAGTTTTGCTTTTCTGAATTTGTTGTTTCATTTTGTTTTGGTTTTACCTTCTATACTGACGCTTGTTCATTTGACTACTCCAGGCCGGAAGCCAGGACACCCTCAACTCCATAGCCCTGAAGTTTAACATCACTCCCAATAAATTAGTGGAATTGAATAAACTCTTCACACACACTATCGTCCCAGGCCAGGTAATTATTTTTGTGTTGAATATTACTTTAGAAATTTTGCCTTCATCTTTCTTTGCCGTATCAAATGACTTAGTAGTGATGTCATAGAGTTGTCTTCTGAACTATTTCCTCTCCCTAGGTCCAAGAATTCTGAAGGCGATATAGTTCTTACAAATGATTCAGGGATTTGAACTTGGGAAATTATTAGCATATTTATGATCACAGTCTTTAACTTAAGGAGGAAGTATTTCATGAGGCATCAAGAGGAGTTTTAAGTCAATATAGCATTTTTTCCTGTCAAATATAACACAGATATCTTAGAATCTTTAATTTTGATTTACAAGTTCAGTTTACTCTACTCTGTGATAAAGCACGACCCCCATTTTATTTTAATTTGAAAGAATTGTGTGTGTATGTTTTATCTTAATTTATTCCGTAATTATCCACCCACCAAAGAAAAAGACATTGAGAAAGAGAGTGGCAAGAAAACCAGTATACATTGTCTTTCAGGATTTTAATATTTTATTTGTCAGCATAAATAAACTGACAAATGTATAATCCTGCTGCTTTACCTTATTACAGTAAGTCTTTGGAACTCTCTATAATTCTATTGTTTGCTCTTTGTTTTTTTCAATTCCAAAAGTACATTCAACCAATGTATTTAAATTGTTCAGTCATTGAGCACATCACTAAAGTCAAATGCAGCCTTATCCACAGAAACACTGGATCCTGTGAGCACATGCATGTAGGTTCCATTGTTGCCTCACTAATGCATCTTCATACATCACTACATTACCAGGATGTCTTATTCCTCCTGGGTAGAAAATGTTATTTTAAATCCAATTTTATTTTGGCAATGTTGTTACTATACTTTGTATTTATTTTCATGGTGGTGTATCAAGACAATAAATAGAGTCACATATTAGCCACCTAGTATTTAGATATTTTTGCTCTTGCTAAAAGGGGAAATTAGTACACTTATAGTACCAGGTAATTAAAAGACAAATCAGCATTAAAATTTTTCAGAAATTAATGCACTCTTTTCTTTTTTTTTCATTTAGACTTTTAATTTTTATTTTTTCAAATTTTTGGATATGGATTGTGTTACAGAAAGATTTTAATTTTTTTTATTGAGAATAAGAAAAAAAAATTTTCCGCCTCCTCCCAGCCTCCCATTTCCCTCCCCCCCCC